GAACCATCAAATCTTGTAAGTTGATGCATCTTTGGACCTTAAAACATATTTATGAAAAAGTAGGTCACAGTGACGTACTTTTTAGCTCACCTCAACGAAGTTGGGGGGAGCTTATGTGATACCCTCGGCATCGGCGTCCCGGGTTAAGGTTAAGTTTTTTGGAGCAGTTTTCTTTTTAAGTACTTCTATGTCCTATATTGATTAGACATGCATGGAAGATGTTTCTAGTGTGTTTCATTGTACCAGTCAAAGTTTCAGATGCTGCAATTTCAGCAAAGGAATGACCAGGTTAATGTTTTTGGTGCAGATTAACATTTTTGGTGCAGTTTTTGGTGTAGGTCTCATTTCCGAGTAACTATAAGCCCTATGTTGACCAAACTTACATGGATGGTACATCTTAGGATGCATACTACCAGACTTGCTTTCGATGCTTAATCTGACCTACATTTTCTGGTTGAGTGAACAGGTTAAAGTTTTTGGTGCAGGTTTCATTTCGAAGATACTATGAGCCCTATAATGACCAAACTTGTATGGATGGTACATCTTAGGATGCATTCTACTAGACTTGCTTCGGATGCTGAATCTGACCTACATTTCCTGGTTGAGTGAACAGGTTAAAGTTTTTGGTGCAGGTTTCATTTCCAAGTTTCTATGAGACATATAATGACCAAACTTGCATGGATGGTACATATTAGGATGCATACTACCAGTCTTGCTTCGGATGCTGAATCTGACCTACAATTTCCTGGTTGAATGAACAGGTTAAAGTTTTTGGTGCAGGTTTCATTTCCAAGTTACTATGAGACATATAATGACCAAACTTGCATGGATGGTACATCTTAGGATGCATATTACAAGACTTGCTTCGGATGCTGAATCTGACTTACATTTTCCGGTTGAGTGAACAGGTTAAAATTTTTGGTGCAGGTTTCATTTCCAAGGTACTATGAACCCTATAATGACTAAACTTGCATGGATGGTACATCTTAGGATGCATACTACCAGACTTGCTTCGGATGCTGAATCTGACCTACATTTTCTGGACGAGCAAACAGGTTAAAGTTTATGGTGCAGGATTCATTTCCAAGTAACTTTGAGCCCTATAATGACCAAACTTGCATGGATGGTACATCTAAGGGTGCATTCTACTAGGCTGGCTTCAGAACCTGAATCTGACCTACATTTTCTGGATTAGTGAAAAGGTTAGTTTTTTATACAGGTTTCATTTCCAAGTAACTTTGTGCTCTATGTTGAACAAACTTGCATGGATGATACATCTTAGGATGCACACTAATGGACTTGCTTCAGATGCTGAACTTGACATACATTTTCCAGATAATAGACCTCGTAAAAGTTATAGGTGCAGGTCTATCACCAAGAAACTATAAGGCTTATATAAACCAAAGTTGCACAAATGATGCATCAAGGGATGAAAACTCTCAATCTTGCTTCAGATGCTGGATTTTAATTACATTTTCATGATGAAGAACTAGTTTTAAGTTCTTATATAGGTCTATTCCAAAGTATCAAAATTGCATAAATTTTGCATTTTTGGATGTACACTTTTTGTTGGTGTTAATTGTGTGACTTAATTTGCCTTACTTAAGGACAACATTGGTTGAGGTGAGCTCTGTAATCTCTGATTACCTATGTTTTGAATTTTGCCGGCATTTGTTTTCAAAACATTTTATGGCTATATTTAATTATATCTGGTACTTATTAGCTTGAAATCATCAAACTTTGTCAGTTGAGGCATCTTAGGGTTTCATAGAATTCCACCAAGAAGTAGGTCACGGTGACCTACTTTTGAATATTTCAGGTACTTATTGGCTTAAAATCATCAAACTTGGTCAGTTTAGGCATCTTGGGTTTTTGGATAACGTCAACCAAAAAGTAGGTCACTGTGACCTACTTTTGACATTTGATGGCTATATTGAATTATTTCTGGTACTTATTTTTTCGGAGAATGTCGACCAAAAAGTAGGTCATGGTGACCTACTTTTGAATATCTCAGGTACTTATTTACTTAGAATCATCAGTCTTTGTCAATTAATATCTTGAGTCCTCATAAAATTTCAATCAAAATGTGGGTCAATATGACCTACTTATGGTATTTTATAATTATATTATAATATCTTCAGTCTTAACAGGCTAAATATTATCAAACTTTGTCAGTTGATGCATTTTGGGTCTTATGATACTAATAGAGTTGGAGGCTTCCAATAGAAGTGATAGAAGGTACAATTTATCAGAAGAGCGATTCAAGGCCCTTGGGCCTCTTGTAGGACTATATTCTAGTATCTCCGGTACTTATTGGCTTAGAATTGTAAAACTTTTGTCAGTTGAGGCATCATGAGTTTTTGGAGAATGTCGATCATAAAGTAGGTCACAATGACCTACTTTTAATTATCTTAGGTACTGATTGGCATATCATCAATCTTTGTCAGTTGATGCATCTTGGGTCTTCGGAAAATGTCAACCAAAAAATAAGTCACAATGACCTACTTTTGACATTTTAAGGCTATATTTAAGTATCCTGGGTACTTAATA